TGGGTGGCTTTCACGGCGAGAGGGTCGCATTTGTTCGCAAGGTCCGCCACCTCCGGGCTGCTGTGGAGCTCCTCCCAAGAGGCCTAGTCCCCGCGCCATTCGCGAACGACCTTGTCTGGGAAAATGCGCGCGGTCACTGCCACCCCCCCCCCCAAAAAAAAAAAAAAACAGACCGGGTAAGGGGCCTCGTCGCCCACGGAGACTGCGCATGGGATGTCCCGCGCCTTCTTGAAGACGTGCTCCAGGCCAAAGCAGAAGTTCCGAGCTGCCCTCCCCATAATTGGGCGGCCCTGGTTTGCCCAGATGTTCTTGCCCCCGGACTTCAGACCTGCCTTCCTCAGGAGATCCGAGATCCACCGCCGCATCTCGCTGACCAGAGTTCTGGAACTCCGCGAACAATACCCCGCCGAAGTCCCCTGTCGAGTAGATCTCGGCTGGGGGCGGGCCCCGGAGCGAAGAAAGTTTGTCGCGAAGCCAGGCGCTGGCCGCCTCCAGCGAGTCAAGCGAATCGAGATTGCCTACCACTGCTGTAATATTCCGCTTGTCTGTCACTCCCCCTCCTCCCATGCCATGGCTGCCTGAATCCTCCTGGGGGGTCATGTGAAACGAGCTGCCCTTCTCGGAGAGCTGCTTGACGATCGAGGTTCTCGAGCTTCTCGATCTGGACTTCGGCGATGTCGATGCGCTCCCCCACGTTGCCCACGCGGACGTCCACCGAGTCCGCGAGGGAGGTCGTGCGCAGGTCGAGATCCCCGAAGCCTTTCTGGAGGTCCTGAATCGCCTTAGTCATGGGCGCCATCTCCTTCCGGAGGAGACCTGCGATACCCGCCATCGTAACCTGCCCCCTTCCCCCGCTGCTGTCCTCCGCCACTCCGTCGAAGTTAAACTGTTCGACTGGTCCTGGGATCAGCTCCTCCTCATCCTGGTCATCCTCCATCTTGTGGTAGCCATCCTTCGGGCGTTGAGGCGAGAGAAGGGAGTCCGAGTACTTAGTGCGCGCCTTTTTCATGAACGGGTTGTTGAACAGCTTGCCCACGGGGGCACCCGTTGCGCGAAAGAGCAGCGGAACCCAGCAGCACAATCCAGTCGGGGCGGCGCCTTGCGACCGCCCTTGCAGTCCGCCGGGGCCGCGGCGGTAGCCGGCGACAGGGACGACGCCGACAAACGTCAGAACGGAAACCCATCACCCGCTCTGGAGGCCCCTCGCTCTGCCCCAGCGACGACGGACGCTGGCGGCCCTGGCACCGAAGGCTGCCCCAGCGCCAGTCTGCGAGGGGAGGCACAGGAAGCAGGGCAAGGGGCGGGCGAGTCCTGAGGACGTCCCAGCACGCGTCCTGCTCAACTTCCTCGAATCGAAGGGAGCCCTGGCTGCCCGGGCCAGGATGATGCATCAAACAAATGGTGATGCCCAGTGCGTCCTGGAGCAATATTGCGCTCTGCTCGGCGGCGGCACCCGCGACCGCAGCCGGCACGACGCCACTTTCCTCCGCTGCTTCCTCCGCCAGTGCAGTTCCACACCTTCCCTCGCCGATTGGGTGCCCCGACCTGGCCCGCCCTGTCCACCCGGGCAACGGGGGCAGCCGGCGTCAGCAGCAGTTTTACCCGGCCACGGAGCGCCGCTTGCTGCCCACCCTTGCGACGAGCGACGGCCCTGGCCCTCCCCTTGGCCCACCCTGTCCTCCCGGGCTGTGGGGGCCGCCCCCCTCCCTCCGCGCGCCGCCGAGCGCCGCCGCGGCGCCCCACATTCTCCCTCCGCGCGGCGCCATGGCGCCGAGCCGCTGCCTGCAGCCGCCATCTGGGGTGCCGGGTTTGGTCTTGCCGCCCGCCACCCCCCTCCCGGCCACCCCCCGCAGGCCCAGCATCTTGCTGGTCACACACCCCCTTGGCGATACCATTTCGCCGCCGCTTCCGTGCCCCAACCTGGGGACGCGCCTCAGGCCCCTGACTGCGTCGTGCCCTGACCCCCCAGGCGTGTCCCGGTAACCGCACTGCGCCCCGCCGCCGCCGGGCCCCGGCGCAGCAGCCGCCGCACACCCTGCCGGCGGGGCCGGTCGCGCCACTTGCTCGGGGTGCGACCCGTCCCCCTGAGCGGCCCTCGCTCTTCCTCCCCTCCTTCGGCCGCCCTCCCTGCCTTCTCCTTTTTTCCTGCATCGTGGCACAGTTCCCTTCAACGGCGTCCCTGCTCATATGGCCCCTCCGCCAGCGCAGTTACTCTGCATGGCCGCCGGCGTGAAAAGGTTCTCAGCGATGTGTAACTCGAGCTGCGCCCTCGGCCCTTGTGCCGTCGGCGCTGGGGCACATCCCGCCCTCGATTGCCTGTAAGTCTGGTTGCCCCGAACAAGAGCTGCGTGGTGCTTCATATGGTTGATTCTGGGATTATGCTCATCCTTATCCGCGTCCTCCTCCTCCTCCTCCTCCTCCTCCTCCTCCTCCTCCTCCTCCTCCTCCTCCTCCTCCTCCTCCTCCTCCTCCTCCTCCTCCTCCTCCTCCTCCTCCTCCTCCTCCATATTCTTACTTTCAGCAGGTGAGCGGTTTCGTCTTCGGCGTTTCGACATTGGGCGGAAGGAGGGGCGAGGGGGGGGGTCTAGCTCAAGACCACTGCTTAGTGCGACTGTTTTCGACAGGGCGTCCAATGGGGGAGACTCCACCTGCTCGAAACAGGCGCCCAAAACCGCCAACATCTACTCCAGGGGGGAAGGGGGCGGGGGGGGGGGGGCGAAGGCCCGCGCCGATCGGCAAAACAACGCATAAGAACACGATATCCAGGGACTCCATGCGTCACACGCTCAGGCAAGCAAGGGAGAGCATGAATATAGTGAGAGAAGCCTGACAACCCTGGACACTGCTACTGCTCGCTTGCATCCATTATCTTAGAAGCATGTTTTACAATAAGTGCACTCCAGACTCAGCACCAGCGCCAAGAATGGGAACTGCCATGTACGAAGAAGTTTGCTCCCCATGAACAGTGGTTATCTGCCAACGCCCGCAGAGTAAGATTGAACAACAACTCCTCACAGTGTGTGCACAGATTCCGCCCTTACGTTCGCGGCAATGCCAATACATGGATTAGCTCTAGTGCGTCTTGTGCCAATGCTTGCTCGACGGCGAAATCCCACCAGCGCTTTAGAGCGGTGGTGGTGTAGCGCGCTTCCTCTTCCAACCTTTTTCTTCCCAAGACAGCTTTGGATACCCTAGATGACTCAAGGTGGCCTGCTAGATGCTTCCATGATGCCCCAAGACTTCTCCAAGACGACCTCAAGTGATCATGGAACCTCCCAAGAATGCCCCATGGGTCGCCCAAATCCTTCCAAAATCCCAGGAACACCGATGAAGATCACAGCCTCGCCCTTTCGCTTCTGATGAACTTCCGAGGTATCAGAATGGCTCCGAGTAGAGAGAGGCTGCATGGTGTTCCGTCTCTTCTCTCGGGAGCGGCCAAGAGGGGGGTGTCCAAGAGGGGGGGGTGCAAATCATGACAGGCGGCATGTGCGCGGCCCAGCGGGGGGGCCTGGGACGTAATAAAATTATCCCGGCAAAGCAACCAAACAGCGATGTGTAGGAGCATATCTGGAAGCATTCCCCTTAAGATTCAGATGAGAATCCAGTTGTAGAATTGTGCTGTTCTCGCAGTCGTAGTCGCATTCGCGATGACAGTCGCAGTGGCAACGGCAGTCACAGACACAGCCTCAGCCTCAGCCTGCCTCAGCCTCAGCCTCAGCCTGCCTCAGCCTCAGCCTGCCTCAGCCTCAGCCTCAGCCTGCTTCAGCCTCAGCCTCAGTCTGCCTTCAGCCTCGGCCTCAGCCTCAGCTGCCTCAGCCTCAGCCTGCATCAGCCTCAGCCTCAGCCTCAGCCTGCCTCAGCATCAGCCTGCCTCAGCCTCAGCCTCAGCCTGCCTCAGCATTCAAAATGT